GTAAATTATGCTAGATCATTTATAAAAGATTTAGGAAAAATAGCAGGACCTTTATATGCAAAGACATCTACTCCAGGACAAAGATTTTTTAATCAAGAAGATATAAAATTAGTTCAACAAATAAAAGAAAAAATAAAAATCCTGCCAGAATTAGCTATGCCTTTAGATTCAGAATACTTAATTATAGAAACAGATGGAAGTATGACAGGATGTGGAGCTATTTTAATATGCAAACCCAATAAATATACTGATAAAAGTACAGAGAGAATTTGTAGGTATAATAGTGGAAATTATAAGGAAAAAGGAAATTTAAGTAGCATAGATGCAGAATTATTAGCTATTAATTATGCATTAGATAGTTTTGAATTATTTATTATATCCAAGAAAGAAATAACAATAAGAACAGATTGTGTAGCCATAGTTTCTTTTGTCAATAAAATGAAAATAGATTCAAAAAGAAGTAGCAGAAGAAGATGGTTAAATTTTATAGATAGAATCACAAATACAGGGATTAATATAGAATTTGAGCATATTAAAGGTAGTGATAATAAGGCAGCAGATATATTAAGTAGAATAATAATATATAGAAATTATTAAATTTGTTTAACATAATTTCTTTATACAGATGACAAGGCCAAGGCCTATAAGACCAGGAATTCCACCAGGGAATTCATTTGTATCAAGACTATTACCACAGACTCCATTTAATCAGAACAGACCAATGTTACAAGACAGACTAAGGTTTGGAAACCAAGAACTCATAGTCTTTCCCAATAGTAATATTTCTTTTAAAATTTTACCGCATAATTCTTTATCTAGAAAAGAAAAATGTATCTTAGACAATTTATGGATTTCTTATAATAAGAATCCAAAAGACCAAAAATATTTTCTTGCATGCATGAATGCATTATCAGAACATTTTAATCAGAACAAGCAAAGGTTTAAATTTTATGTTGTCATTAAAGGAAGAAATCCAGGAATTTTTCATTCTTGGATAGAAGTTATAGATTGCATTAAAAATTTTCCAGAACCTATTTACAAAGGTTTTACAAATTTTCAAGAAGCATTAGATGTTGCAAGACAACAGATAGGAATAAATTTTTATTTATCTCCTTCTTTGAAGAATTACTCAGACCCTCCATTAGACTTTTCTCCAAGCAAAGACCAAAATATTTTCTGCCAACACTGTGAATGTATGCAGAGAAATTACAAAGTTATCAATGAAGCCAATCAGAACCTTTCATTAGAAAGAACTCAACTCCAAAAGAAAGTAGCCCAATTAGAAAAAGAGATTTTGGATTTAAAAATCCATTGTCCAACAGGTACTATGGAGCCCAAGAAGTCCATAGCTAGTCCAGCCCAAACGGTAGCTGGTAAAGACTCATCAAATCCGTTAAAGGTTGTGGACTTACCAAAAGCCCAACAGACTCAGGGGACTGTTGATTCTCCTACTAAATTAGACAATCAGACTCAGCAGACTGATAAATCTGCTACAGAAAAAGGTAAAGAAATTTGGGATCTTTTAGGACAGCCCAGTGGAAAATTTGATTATTTAGTCAAATATAGTCCACCAGAACATTTTTCTTCAGAACATTTTTCAAACAATCCAGAATTTTCACAAGCCCAAGAAATTCAATCCATTAAGGGAAAAGAAAAAATGCAAGATAGTCAAGAATGTTTATTTTTTCAAGAATCACAAGATCCTAATCCAGATACCGCTTCTTTAGAAAAGATCTTTGAGAAAATTGAAGAACTCCAAAAATAATCTAAAAAAGATGAAGGGATTTCTTCTAGAAAAAAGAAAAAGATTAAGAAGAAGAAAAATGATGAAGGACTAAAAGAACAAATAAGAGAAGTAGTTAACCAAGCAATTGAGACAATATTAAAAAAGAGCCATGAAGAAGAAAAAGAAATTGCAGAACGTCCAGATCAGAAAGAAAAAGATGAAGCAAGTAACTCAAGACTTTCAGATGAAGACGAAGATCCACAGGAAGAAGGATACAATAATTCAGACAGTGGAATATCATTTTCATCAGTGGCACGTCATAATCTCAGTACATAATCAGATCCTCAATAATGCAGAACAAGACAAAAGTGATAGAAGAAAAGAAAGAAAAGTTGAAGATCCTTATCACATTACTATAGACCTTTTGATTTTTGAAGAAAGATGTCAGAAACTTTTAGACTTTTTACGTAAATTGGTGGAAATTTCAAGATTCCTAAACTGTAGACTTTTAGACTTTTGTAAAAATAGGAAATTTTCTTTCCACTTGTTAGACTTATCTTGAATTAGCCAGAAGTTTTTCGGTGAAACGTGTGCTCTTTTCAAGGATATTTTAAACTTTTTGCTCCCAAGAATTTTTCTATTTAAGGAACAAGTTTCATTTGGTTTAGGCAGAAGTTTACAACCTGTGTACTCTCTGCTATCCAAAAACCTTTTGAAACCTTTCTCAGAAAAATTCTCAATCCAAAAAATTATTGTATAGCTGAATCATCCTTGTGAATACTTAAGGTATTATTGTATTTCTTTAAGTTTATTTTAGAACTTTAGGGACTTCCCGAAAGGGAAATCCTTAGTTGTAAATCTTTTTAAAAGATGAATTTATAAATCCCTGATTTATGTTTTATTAGTTTATGTTCATATTTTTTGTATTTATGTTTTAAGTAAATATCTGTTATGTTTCTCATTTCATCCTATGCATCTAATAAAAGCATAACTTGATTTCTAGAAGCCATACTATTTTTAGGTTAATCCTGAGTGACCCAGATGAATGAAAACTTTTGGCCGGAGTGAGCCTTTTTGATGTTTTCTAGAGATGCTGGGGAAAGGGAGAAATTAATCTAAGAATTTTATAAGGGAGTGCCACGGGTAACCTTATAAAAAGAAATCAGGTTCAAGTTTATATGTCATAGGTGGTGAAAATTTAAATGAAAAAAAAAAGGGATTTATACATGATTCTTAAGAAAGATTTATAGAAAACTAAGGAGAGTACTGAGTAGGATTAAAGCTATTAAAAGTAAAACAAAACAGCCATCTTAAAACAGCCATTTTAAAACAGCATACCCCCCCATTTATATATATATATATATATATAGTTTTTAGAGATTTGAAACTTCTCTCACTATCTATATCAACAATATTTCCTCTTTTAGTGAATGATGATAACTTTTCGGTTTATATACTTGATATTGTAGGCTCAGGTAATAATTATTTTCTCATTACTTTTCTTGTTTTCGAATATCGACTTCTTTTAGCGATTGATCATCTCTAACCTTGTAGTTGGTGTTACGCTCCTAACCGAACCACTTCGGAACATCAGGCACACCATTCCCCGAAGTGCCACGTATCCATCCGTAGCGGTTTCGAAGTGATCCAACGACCCCCAACTTGACGCACTACGAGGCGTAGAGTAAATCCACTGAATCAGCCAAAGTGCCCCCTGACGCCGAAGCGTTAGGTACTTCGAGGTGATCCTTTAACAGATCCCTCCGCCGCTACTTTCAGAAAGATATCTGTGTTAGGATCCTCTCTGCCTCCAAGGATTAATTGATATGACGTCTCCATAAGTCTAGTTGATGTGACGTATCAACTTTATGTTAACTCGACTCAAAAGAATTAATTGTCCGCCCACTCTAGACACGGCTGATTGATACCTATGAGTGAACGCTTCACACCGTCAGATGCATACACGCGTTCCACATCCAACGATATTCCACGTCTATAAATACCCAAAGTTTGACAAAAGACAAAGGTAATGAAACTCTCAACCTAGTTCTCCACACTAAAAAAATATGCTCTTCTCCCCACTATCTTGCATAACTTGAACACTGTTCCGATCACCCAACACCGATTTGATCGTCGGAGTGTATGCGGCCGCCACCAACCCCGTTGGTTCTGGCCGTGTATTTCTGACCGTGTGTTGTTGTGCGCGGGGAGTATTACGTGGAATGACTATCCGTTGGTCACGTGGAGGGTCCAATTCGCGAGGTCAACAGTTGGGACTCTGTATCGAAATGTGTCTTCCGCATGAAGTTGATACTATCTCATTAGACAATTTAAAATTTAAACAATGAAGGTTTCTTTGTTAGATATGGAAAGCTGTTCTCTCTTAGAGTTCATTTTTCTTACAAATTTTATTTGAGTCTTTTATTTTATCTTGTCATTTGCAAATGATATATATAACAATTATGACCTCTTTGTATCTACTTTATTTATGTTTTAAGCTGTTTTCTGACAGGTTTTTCATCCAAATATTGTGGCCAATGGTGAGATTTGTGCTAATGCCTTGAAAAAAGATTGGAATCCACGGGGTGTTGTAATTGTAAGTTTTGTCAATATTTATGAGCTCTTTCTTCTTAATGTATTCGCATTCCATACACACTTGGCTAACTTCTTTCCTAAAATCTTTTTGATTGCCAGGTAATGAGATGATTATTAATTCAACCGTTTCAAGAATCAGCTTTAACTAAGAAAGGTGGCAACATGCTGCTCGAAAATTATGCGTATGCAAGACACGCAAGTTTAGTCATTCCATAGTATAGTTGCTCTATTTTCTATTCAACTTTTGCATATGTGGAGTATACTCATGACTCATTGAACTCTTCATAGTAGTATTAACTTTGTCTTCATTTGTCCAGTCATGTTCTTTCATTTAGTTCTATTTAGTACGCACATATCTCCTGACAATCTTCAACATTCGGCATGTTAATATTACCTCAAAAATAATGCACGGGCAATATAGTAGTTATATTAGAGATGACTTTTTTAAAATACAATTTATTTCTTCTAACATGGCTAATTTTTTTAACAATTCACTTAAGCATGGGAGAAGCTCTAGTAATTTACGAATTATTTTTCTTCAAATAAATTGAATATGAATAATGTTATTTGACATTCACGATGTTTAACACCAATTTAGGTACCAGTAAAGATCATGCTCCATAATTAGCGATATAATTTTACAGAGGAATGTTACGTGGCACTAATGGAATGCTAAAAATAGAGGCTCAACATATAAATTTTCTAGTCATTTTTGACGAGTTAGTTATACAAACAATAATAGTCAGTCAAATTTGTCATTTGACGCAACGCAATTGTCATGAATCTATCGTCCTAGACACGTCAAATGCAAATATTTTTCAATACAAAACTAATTTTTAGAGAAGGCTGCCAAAAGTTTACTTTTAAGCAAGACCAAACATACCACTAGAAAAGAAAAGAGATCCACGCGAAAGTAAAATGGGATTAACCTTAAGATTGGTTAAAAAAAGAAAAGGATAAATCAATCAAATATCATCGTAGAAACATTTCTTGAAAGCACCCATGTTTTCTTCTTGCAGCCATATTGCTATATTGAAAGATCCATCACCATCATGGCTAGGAATTATGAAAGTTTTCCCATCAAAGCCCATTGATCCAGGCCCCATATGGATTTCCTTTCCCCACCCAAAATCGGCGCCGTAGAGTGGCAGCGCCGTCCAGCTGATTATTGCCAAATTAGGATTTCCATAGAAATCTCCCTTCGGACGGCCATTGTTGTCGAGAGAACGGAATCGGCCTACGTCGGGTAATCCCTTGAGGAAATCGAGGTACCCTCTTACGGTTTCATCTGTAACCTTTTCCACGGCGGCGCGTATTTTACGCGCTGCCGCGCCTATGGTGCTGGACAGTAGGTCGCCGGAGGAGTCTGTTGCTTCAACGCGGATAAGGGCGTTGCCAAAGAAGTTTTTGGGCAGTGGCGGCTGCAATTTGTTGCGGAAATCTGCAACGAAGTGGAGACTCGTTGGTTGCTCCTCCACATGCCGCCGTGCCTTGCTGGTGCACCGCCAGATATGAGCGGCGACAGCTTCAAATCTGCTGTACCCGCGGCTGTTTCCGGCTTCCAGATTCAGATCCTTGCTGGCTTTGTTCCGGAGTTTTTCAATCTGAATTTTTGTTATATGCAGAAACGCCACAGCAATAGGCTTCTTTCGTTGCTCCATATTATCTTCTTCGCCGATCAACGAAGGCGGCGGGCGGAGCACCGCGGGATCGAACCTTGAAGCCAGTGGTTTATCCGTTTCCCAAACCTTCCTATCAAGAAATGGCGGAATAATAGGCTCTGCGCCACGTGCAATCTTCGCCCATTCGTCCACAAAATGCAAAGCACTTGGCCCATCCGCCATCACATGGGAGACACCCAAACCAATGCTAACGCCGCTGCATTTGAACCTGTCTCAAGAAAATCCCCAGAACACACTTAACAATAATTACAAGAAGACAAAGTACATGAACAAAAAACACTAATCATTTCATTATTCAAAACCCGAGTTACAAAACTTTCGAACCTGGTTAGTTGCACTATAACCAAAGGGATTTCGTCGATCGGAGTGGTGTAATCTACAGACGGAATCAGTGCTTGAATTTCTGGGGTTGGGGTGAAATCCCCGAAATCCTCCACCGCCGCCTCCGACACAGCTTCATGAATAGGAACTCCTCTGCCATTGCAGTGGAGTTCTACCCGGCTGCCACCTTCGGCCGACCACTTCAGCCGCCCTGCTAGTGGATAAAATAATACCAAAACCTTGCTCAATGAATCCCTCAATACACCAATGGCATCTCCATTATCCAACTTATCATTATTTCTATAAAAATAAATTGTGGGCGTGTGAGTTATGTCCTTAATTTGATCACAGGCATTTAAATACGTAATCTCTTCTGGGGTTGGCTCAGCAGGCTTTACAATATGAGTAGCCTTGAATGTTACCATTTTCCCTATCTAGAGAGATAGACAGACAGAACTGGAGGAGGGGGAGGGAGGGAGGGAGAGAGAGGATTGCAAAATGCCAATTGGTGAGAATGTTATATAACAGAAGTTTGAATACGATGGCAAGAGTTTGATTATTCCCAGTGGCAGTCATTCAAATAATTTGCAGTTAATATATATATATATATATATATATATATATATTCTTTTCTTAAAAGGAAAATGCTTTATTTGAGACACCAGAAAAAGTAGTCAGAGCACAACATTTGCTTTAGCAGCTGGATATGCTCCTTAATTGACCAACAGCTCTAATGCTTAGGAATGATTATTAACAGGTTAACTTTGGTATGAATTAAAACATAGGATAGGAAACATATGGTCCCACCAAACCCGATCGATGGCTGCAAAATCATAGTAAAATAGATCGTCCGGTCCACCAAATTCTTGACATTGTAAAACAATTTCGGAGCCTAGGTGGCAGACAATGGACTATTTTATTCTACATAATTAGGCTCATGGATTTAAAAATGTCTTGTGATCATTATTAAGTGGGACCCATTAAACGCACATTTTTCTCCTTCGGTTAGGATCTTTGGCGCTGCTTTTTGGGGCCAAATTTTTGTCCGTTACTTCACACTCTTTAATCAAACTAACACTCAAAAAATTCCTTTGCAAAATTAGCACCAAACAGGTGCTAAAATCTACTTTTTTTTTTTTTTTTTTTTTTTTTTTTTTTGTGCTTATAGATCACATCTGAGAGAGATTCGTTATAATTTATATTATTAATTCATTTTTCAATACATTTTATTTAATAAAATAAATTTATAAATGGACTCGTAACTTTTTCATACTCTTAACCACATATTTTTCAAATAAATTACTTTTTTTTTTCATAAAATATATTCTTGAAAATCTACACGAAACAATAATTTTAATTTTATTTTTGTCAAGGATCATGGTTTATCAATTCCAACTTAATTATATCGAGGAATGAGGAAATCTATAGAGTTAAATTCGAAAATTGAGTCAACTCGAGTATCTATCTTATCGATTAGATTATTGTCTAGCTCACTTGATTTAATTAACAATATATGCCCCGGTTTGATATTGATTTAAATCAGATTTTTAATCAAAGTTAAAGTTAAACAATTAGTATTAATCAAATCTTTTATTGGTCCTACAACTTTTCAACTACACATTTTTATTCTTTTTTTTTTGTCAAAATTCACTAAAAATCTAATTTTAATTCTCACCAAACAAGAACTATACCTCATCAAAAAAGTGAAAGTCTACGTAGGTACAGAAGATGTTGAGAACCTCTCTTATACTATAGCATAATATCGGAACTGATTGTTTTTCCCTACTATATAAAAAGGAGGATGTGGAGTTATTGTAAAAGTAAACAGTGAATTGTTCCATTTTATTTCGCTGTAGCTTTTATTTTATTTTATTTATTCCATTTTATTGCGTTGTAGCCATTTCGTTTGTTGCCCCAATGTTTGAGCAAAAATGACATCGTTTTGTCTAATTGGTACAGTGATATTTCCCCTTTCTCGCCCAAAATTATTTACTTTTTCAAAAAATCACACCTTGTTTCTTCTTCTCTTCTTGTTTTTATTATCTATTTTGTTTTTATTATTCGTGTATGAATTAATTTTTTTTCAAATTTTTTTGGTGTCTAGATTTTTTCTAGGGGTAAGTTAATTTCTTTTTTTTTCCCTTCTTTTCCCCTTCTTTGTTATTTGCTTTATATTTTTTTCCCTTTTTTTTTCCTCCTTTTTTGAATTGGCTTTTGTTAAATTCCCAAAAAAAAATTGAAAGGAAAAAAATTTATTGATGGAGTTTAAAGTCTCCGTGCACGGAGGCAAATGCTGTCTCCGAGCGTGGAGACTTGTTTGAGCTCCATTCTCTAAAACCCCAAAAAAAATTTATGCCTAGCATATATGTTTGCTGGCATATGGTGGCCTTGAAGGAAAGGCAGTTTATATAGGTAAATTTTATGCCTGGCATATATGTTTGTTGGCATCTATGTTTACTATTTTTTCTTTAATGTTCAGTTTACATCACTCCATTTTGTGATGCTTAGATATGGAAGGCAGTTTTATGGTCGAACGTGCTTTTCAAATTGCCGAGGCATGCATAGAGGCATGCTTTTTCAAAGTGTCGATATGGTAATTAAATATTCAATTTGTTGGGCTGTGATGTCAATATCAATCCAACATAGGCGATGATGATAAAATCCAGGCCCAATAAGAAAAGAGCTAATTAACCACTCTCTTGATACTTAGATGGCCCACTTAACCGAGCCCAATAATCAGCCCATTCCCTTAGTTGCTCTGGGACTGTTGGATCGACCCATAGATCAATGGCTGATGGTCTTTACTTATTAAATAGATCCTTTGCTTTGCCCTTATAAGGAGGATCGTCATTTTTCTTTCTCTATGTGAGTCGTCTTCTTTTTGAAACCTTCAAGGGCTTCTGTCTTCGTGTTTTCAGCTACTCTGTGTGAGATTATTTGGGAATTATCTTTGAGATAATCAAGTCCTTGTGTGATTCTTCTCTGTGTGAGTGAATCGTTGTTCTTGTGGTTTGTCCATTTTGTGTTCCATTGAAGTAACTCTGTGGTTTGGGATCTGTGAGGGCTCGCGGTTTGAGTTCGGTGTCTCGATGATGTTTTTTGGGGCTTTTGGTCTAAGCCTATGAAAGATTTACACTAGATGCTGTGGTTTAGGTTTTATGTAAAGTTCTTATACATTTTGGTTGTACGGTTTTCAGATTATTGAATAATAGTGGTATCAGAGTGTTGTAAGGCCGTTTTTGTGTCTTCGATCGAAGGTTCGAACACTGGAAAATTAATTTTCAGGCGTTCGACTGTAGATCGCGAAACCCTAGGTCTAGATCTGTTCGATCTAGTGGTTTGTTGAGCTAATCTGAATCTGGACTGTGGAAAACGAGGTCGTTCTGTGACTTCAAGCCTCGATCTAGAAAAGAACCTAAATCTTGAAGCTAAAAAGGCTCGAAATTGAATGAGCTCCAAACTGTAAGGGCTCGACCTGTGATTTGGTGAACTAGAAAACGCTCTCCCTTGGTTGCGATGACCCCGATTCTTGATCTGTGCTGGTGGTTAATCGATTAACCACCCTTCGATTTGCAATTCTTGATCCCTACACGATCACACACACGCTTAACATTGAATATACATGTTGATGCCTCTCTCTTGATATGTTTTAACTACTGTGTATTATAACTCGTTACATCGATAAATGATATCTCGTTATCTTTACCTGTGATAGTTTAATTTGGGTGATTCAAATTGAGCCTTGACCTGAGAACTTGATTCTCACGGAATCCTAGTAAATTTGATCATTCCTAGGCTCTGCAGATATTGTTGCTGATACTGAGATATTGTTTTTGTCTGCATTGTTGTATTTTTCTGGTTCTTGTGGTGTTTACACTAGAATATCTACGGATCTTAATATTGTTTGAAACTACTTGTGATTGAAAGTAATTTTAATTCATTCACTTGATTGCATATTTTTTCTGTGATCTAAAACATCATTTTAGCGAAGGTCAAATTCAACAAACTTTCAAAAGTTGATCATCAGTCTTGTTTTTAATTTTTTTGGAAATACTGTGTGTTAGTTTTTTCAACAATAAAACATGACAAAAGCATCTTTTGAACTTGGTGTTTTTGATGGAAAATGGGATTTTCTCATTTGGCAATAAAAAATGCGAGGTGTTTTAGTTCAGCAAAAAGTTTTCAAAGCAATAACAAATGAATTTCCTGATACCTTAATAGATGATCAAAAGAAAGAATCTAATGAACTTGCTTATACCTCCATTATTCTGCATTTGTCTGATCAAGTTTTAAGAAAAGTGGGAAAACATGATACTGCTAAGGCCCTATGGGATGAATTAGAGAAATTTTACCTACCTAAGTCTCTGCCTAATAAGTTGTTTTTGTTAGAGAAAATTTTCAGCTTTAGGATAGACCCTACTAGAGACTTAGAAGACAGTTTAGACATTTTTAATAAGTTAGTTCAAGATATTATGAATACAGGTGAGAAAGTTTCTGATAAGTATAATACTGTAGTGCTACTTAATGCTATACATGATGCCTACAAAGAGGTTAAAGTCGCCATTAAGTATGGTAGAGATACTCTTACACCCGATATTGTCATAGACTCTTTAAGGAGTAAGAAACTTGAACTTAAGTCTGAGAGAGGTAATAGTGGCCATGAAAACTTGTTTGCTAGAATGAGGACTTTAAGTAGATCTAGTGGTACTCAGGAAAGTCATAATAATCAGGGAAACAACAATAGGATAAAGTTTAAGAGTAGAGGCAGGTCTAAGTCAATGACTAAAATTAAAAAGTGTTATGATTGTGGAAAACCTGGTCATTTTATCAAAGACTGTCAAAAGAAGAAAAATGAACAGAAAGGTAAGGGTGTTGATGAAGGTAATGTGGTAGAATCTGAAGGTTCTACCACAATTGATGTATATGATGTGATTGAAAATTTACCTAACTCTGCAAATGTTGTTGATGGGAATCAGAACCAAGAATGGATCTTGGATTCTGGTTGTACCTTCCATATGACCTCTAAGAAGGCATATTTAGAAAATTTTAAGAAAATTAACGGAGGAGAAGTGGTTATGGGCAATAATATAGCCTGAAGAGTTGAGGGAGTTGGGAATGTCACTTTAAAATTTGATAATAGATACATTTACACCCTTGAAAGGGTGAGGTATGTTCCTGAATTAAATAGGAACCTGATTTCCATGGGAAATCTGGATGATATAGGGCTGCAAGGAAAAATTGGAGATGGTTTTTTGAAGGTGATAAAAGGATCACTTGTTATTTTTAAAGGCTTTAAAAGAAACAGGATTATGTGATCAAAGCTAGTACAGTGTTTGATCACATAGGTAAGTCTTCTAGTGTTGAAGTTGATGCCACCTTAAAATGGCACAAGAGATTGGCCCATGTAGGTGAAAAGGGCTTACACATCCTTTCTAAGAAAAGTGTGTGTGGAAAAGACTATATCTAAGGTGTCCTTTTGTGAAAACTGGACTTTAGATAAGTAGCATATGCTG